TTGATTTCATTGCAATCAGAAGGGCCATAAAAAGTCCAACTGCCCTAGATTGACAGCAGCAGCGCCAGTGGCGGCGCTAGCTCCAGCAACCCTGCGGATCACAGATGGCCGACAGGGCAAGACAGATGCTCCAGTGGTGAGGAGCCGAGCCTTCCAGATGACCGTCGAGGAGGCGCGTGCCGCAACTGATGTGGTGACCGGTATGTTTTCTTCTCCCTAACTCTTATTACATGTCGGTTATGATATTTATGCATTGTGTTTATGTGTTATATTTAGGATCGTTCCATGTGAACGACATCCCAGTTCAGATGTTATTCGACTCGGGGGCTACCCGATTGTTTGTCTCTCTTGAGCTTAGCAAGAGGTTTTCTGAGTCTTCAGTCATGTTAGACTATCCTTTAGAGGTTGAGATTGTTGATGACCGATCTGTCCGAGCATCAGAGGTTTTCAGAGACTGCGTGCTGAGGTTATATGACGAGCGTTACCTTGTGGATTTGGTTCCCATTCCATTATGTGGGAACAAGGTTATCATAGGCATGGACTGGTTGAGCCCTAATGGGGTGGTGATCGACTGTGCGCAGCAGCTGGTGCGTATCAGGTCCCCAAGTGGGGGAGAGCTGGTGATTCAGGGCGAGAGGCCGCATCGAGGACCAGCTTTGTGCTCAACAGCACGGGCTAGGCGCTACCTTCAGCAGGGTTGCGCAGGGTTGCGAGAGTACCTGGACGTATTTCTAGAGGAGCTGCCTGGGATACCTCCGGAGAGGAAGGTGGAGTTCCGGGTCGACCTAGTCCTTGATGCGGATCCGATAGCCAAGGAACCATATCGGTTGGCTCCTCCCGAGATGCAGGAGTTGTCTACACAACTACAGGAGCTGTTAGACAAGGGATTTATCAGGCAGAACAGTTCGCCTTGGGGAGCCCTGATCCTGTTTGTGAAGAAGAAGGACGGGTCGCATCGGATGTGTATAGATTATCGAGAGCTGAACAAGGTAACGATGAAGAACCGTTACCCACTCCCGAGGATTGATGATCTCTTCGACCAGCTTCAGGGGGCATCTTGGTTTTCCAAGATAGATTTGCGTTCAAGCTACCACCAGATATGAGTCAGAGACGAGGATGCATAGAAGACTGCTTTTCGGACTCGCTATGGCCACTACGAGTTCGTGGTGATGCCCTTCGGGCTCACCAATGCTCCTGCCATGTTCATGGACCTCATGAACCGCGTGTGCAGACCGATGATGGATCGGTCTGTGATAGTTTTCATTGACGACATCTTGGTTTACTCCAAAACGCAGGAGCAACATGAGGAGCACTTGCGGGAGGTGTTGGATACCCTGAGGAGGGAGAGCTTGTATGCCAAGTTCTCCAAGTGTGAGTTTTGGTTGCGCGAGGTGCAGTTTCTGGGGCACCTTGTCAACCAGAACGAGATTTTGGTCGACCCGGCCAAGGTGGAGATAGTGATGAGATGGGAGGTTCCAAATTCTCCATCTGAGATTCGGAGTTTCCTCGGGTTAGCAGACTATTACCGGAGATTTATACAAGACTTCTCTAAGATAGCAGTACCCTTGACCCGGCTGACGAAGAAGGCTGTTGTATTTCGCTGGGGGCCCGAGCAGTAGATAGCGTTCGAGACACTGAGGTAGAGGTTGTGCGAGGCGTCGATCTTAGCCCTGCCAAAGGGCGTGGAGGATTTTGTAGTGTACTGTGATGCGTCCATTTCGGAATTGGGCGCAGTATTGATGCAGAGAGGGCACGTCATTGCTTACGCCTCGAGGCAGCTGAAGCCTCACAAGGCGAACTACTCAACGCACGATCTGGAGTTAGGGGCGGTTGTTTCGCCCTCAAGATTTGGCGACATTACCTCTATAGGGTCTGTTGTACTATCTACATGGATCACAAGAGTCTGAGGTACCTCATGGATCAGCCGAATCTGAACATGAGGCATCGTCGAAGGCTAGATGTGGTGAAGGATTAAGACTGTGAGATCCTATACCACCCGGGGAAGGCCAATGTTGTGGCCGATGCGCTTAGCCGCAAGGCGTCCCCGATCAGAGATATCTACTTGAGGATGGCGGTAGTGACTCCGCTTCTGGAGCAGATCCGAGAGGCCCAACAGGAGCCTATGAAGGAGGAACATCAGAAGAGTGAGCGTATTGTGTGTCTGGTTTCCTCCTTCGACTATGATAGCCATGGGTTGTTGACATTACGCCGTAGAGTGTGGGCTCCATATCATGGAGTTATGCGTCAAGTTTTGATGGAGGAGGCGCACAAATCCATGTTTTCTATCTATCCCGGGGCGACGAAGATGTACAGAGATCTTCGTCCTGATTATTGGTGGCCCTGTATGAAGCGGGATGTAGCATGGTACGTTGAGAGATGCCTGGCGTGCAGGAAGGTCAAGGCCGAGCACCAGAGGCCTCATGACAAGACAAAGCCATTGGATATCCGTATGTGGAAATGGGAAGATATTACTATGGATTTCATCACAAAACTTCCCAGGACTGCGCGAGGGGTGGATTCGATTTGGGTCATCGTGGATCGGTTGACCAAGAGTGCTCATTTCATACCGATTCAGGAGAGCATCTCGGCCGAGAAGCTGACCGATATCTACATCAGAGAGGTAGTAGCTCGACACGAAGTGCCAATTCCCGTGATTTTCGATCGAGACGTGCGATTCACTTCCGGATTCTCGAAGAAATTCCATGACGAGTTGGGTAATCGTCTGCACTTTAGCACGACTTTTCACACTCATATGGATGGTCAGAGTGAGCGGACCATCCAGACCTTGGAGGACATGCTGTGGGCATGCGTATTAGACTTCGGTGGTAATTGGGATACCTACCTTCCCTTGGCATAGTTTTCCTACAATAATAGCTACCACGCGAGTATCGACCGTCCTCCCTTTGAGATGTTGTACGAGAGAAAGTGCAGGACCCTGATATGCTGGGGAGAGGTTGGGCAGAGGGTCATGAGGAGTACCAAGGTGGTACTTAAGATGACAGAAAGGATCCAGCAGGTCCGGAGCAGGCTTCAGACTACTTAGAGTCGGCAGAAGAGCTATGCCGACAAGCGCCAATCAGACCTGGAGTTTCAGGTGGGAGATAGGGTTCTCCTGAAGGTGTCACCTTAGAAAGGTGTCATTCGGTTCAGGAAGCGGGGCAAGTTGGGCCCCAGATACATTGGTCTTTTCAGAGTTGCAGTCCGGGTGGGCAAGGTGACGTATAGGTTGGATCTGCCAGCCTAGCTTAGTCAGATCCACGATACCTTTCATGTCTCCCAGTTGCGGAAGTGCCTGGTAGACGACTCTGCGGTGGTGCCTCTAGAGGATATCCAGGTTGATGACAGTCTGAACTACATCGAGCGACCAATAGCCATCATCGACAGGAAGTCGAAGGATCTGAGGAACAAGAAGGTCGAGTTGGTGAAGGTGCAATGGCAGCACCACAAGGGCTCAGAATGGACGTGGGAGCCGGAGGACGAGATGAGGGAGCAGACTTCGAGGACGAAGTCTAAAATAAGTAGGGGAGATTTGTAACGCCCGGTTTCTGGTACGTATTTAAATAAGAAACTATTCATATTTGCTAAGGGACTCGACGAGTTGGAGGCCCCAAACTCGTTGAGTAAGAATTAGATATGTTGGACGCGGGACTTGAAGTCTACTCGACGAGTAGAGGAGCCTCGACTCGACGAGTAGGTCTGCCAGAGTGAAACCCTAATTTTCGGGGTTTGCACTCTATTTAAACATCTTAACACCCTCCATTGTGGCCTCTCTCATCGCCTCCCTTATTCCAGAAAACCCTAATTCGAAATCCTAACCCATTTTGAGTGTTTTTGAGCCATTTTTGTGTATTTTTTTTTGGTTTTAAAACTTAAGAAGGAAGAAGAAGCTTGAGAGTTCAAGAGGAAGCAAGTAGATCTAGAGGTTGTGTTTCATTTCCAACTTATTTTAGGTTAACATGGCTTTTGTCAGCACAACAAGTTGACTCCATCTTTGTAGCTTAATTAGGAAAGAAGATGGAATGAGGATCGACGTAAAGAAAAAAAAATACAAATTTTATTTTGGGCTTTTGGCATACAAATGGTAGGCTGAGGCTCTAACAAACCCATACCATTTCATATTTGTGGCCCAAACCAGTGTTAACAATCTCTAATTTCCAGCTAATTAAAAGCAGCTAGTTATTAACACGTGTTTAAACATAAGTTTAACAGCAATACATAAAAAAAAACTCTGTAATTAATAAGATTATCATTATTAAGTTATATTAATATTAATTTAAATTACACTAAACTAAATATACTAATATAGTAAGTGGGGATTAGGTGTGAAATATGCAATCTCCCATGTTTCTTGGATCTTGCCTCAGTAATTAGTTAGTAAACAATTGATATTAGCATAACATGGCTTTTGTCAGCACTACATGTAAACTCCGTCTCTACCTTAAATATGTAAGAAGATTAAAAAAAAAAAATACAAGAATTCTATACAAATGACAGACGAAAACTCTAACTCATCCATAACCATCAACATCACATGTTTGTGTCCAAACTCCGAGCTAAGAACAGCTAGGTAGCACATTTTCAAATACAAGGTTAATAGAAACGTATGAAAACAAACACCATCGCAAGTTGTTACTAAAGTTTGAGAAATGAAGATTGAAGAACATTTTCTCTGTTAAACTGAATAAAATGGAAAATACAGTACATAGAGCTATACTACGCTGTTCTATCTATCATGAGCTTAACAAAATATCTAACTAGCCAACAACTAAAATTAAATATCTAACTAGCCAACAACTAACGTTACTAACATCTGTGAATAGTCCTGTTAAATAACTTATTACTATGTTAGTTGTGCTTTAACTATTAGGTGGGGTCGACGCCATCTCCAATGCGTCATGTATCTTGTCTCAGCAAGCAAGTCAACTCCATCTTTTTCTAGCATAAATATGTAAGAAGTTGGAAGCAGGATTCACAGAAAGAAAAGAAACAAACATACAAAGATGGCAAGCTCAAGTTCTAATCCACATATCACACTTGAAATCGAAGAAGAAGAATACCCATACCCATCACATGTTTGTGCTCCCAATTTTGTTACCTTTAAGCTAAGTTGTAAAGATGAGTATCGTATTTGGAAAACACAGACGCTATGTCTCTTAAAGAGTCATGCTATGCTTGGTTTCATCGATGGAACACTTGTAAGCCCTCAAAGGATTGTTTCCGGGAAGGAGAAAGTGGGTGACCCTAACATTCACTGGCTGTGGACAAGATCTGATTCTCTTGTCAAAGGTTGGATTCTTGGTTCACTCTCGAAAGAGACACTCGGGTGTGTTTTGGATCGTCTCACAGATCAACAGACCGAAGCAGATTGCAGTGCAATGGATGTGTGGAATGAACTGCAGACAATGTATGGTCATGCTGTTCTTCCACAACTGCCTCCTGTTGTTGCAGGTACAATCTTTTGTTTACAAAACTATCTTTTCTTTGAGTTGGTGATTAAATTATTTTAGATACAATATTAGTACGTAAAATAAGGGTTTAAATGTTTATATATGAAACATTCCTACATGATTCAATAAATTCAGGCCCGTTGTACTTGGGCGATAGGGGCGTCCAGATCCATCTTTTAAAGGGCCCAATTATTATTATTATTATTTTTTTAATTTTTTATCTTTTTTTAATAGAAAGTGTTATATTTAGAAGATACTAAGGTTCCGTTTGATAGTTTCTGGCTGGGAAAATGCTGTCTGGTAAAGTGCTGTTTGGAAAAGTTTTCTGACTGGGAAGAAACTATGCTGTTTGATTGTAAATTTGATTGACTGTGCTGAATGATGAAAAAAAGTAATAATTCAAAAAAAATAAATTTAAAAAAAGTTATTTAAAAAAAATTAATAATCCAAGAAAGAAAGAAAGAGGCGGGGTTTGGTGCATAATTGTCTTTGCAGCCCATTCAGGCAGAAAGATATGATTTTAAGGCTTTCTCAGAAAGACATATCGTACCGGAAAAGACCATTTTTTTGTGCAAATCAAACAGTCTTTCCGGTCTATTCAACCGGAAAGATCTGTTTGGACCTGGAAAGATGCGTATCAAACGGAACCTAAGAGTAATTTTCTTTCAATCATTGAGTTGTTATAAAAAATTTGATAACATTTATGTATTTTAACGGCCCATATTTTTCCTATAGCCTAAGTCTAAAATTTGTTCGTAACAACCTGCATAAATTCGGGACCCACCTAAATGATATTTGGTTAGAAAATCACTCTGTTGTATACATTAGATGAAACAAGCATTTATTACGTATTTTGTCTACGTCCCATCCATTTAAAGTTTCAAATTTCAAAAAAAAAAAAAAAATGCTTATACTCATGTACCTATTAGTTGTAAAACACAAAAAACTTAACTCTATTAAAAATGATATATTAAAATGATATGTTCTTTTAAAGGTTAATATCATAAAAGTATTTTTTTCAGTATTAAACCTTACTTTATTTATTTTTTTTTTGAAAAAGATCATGCTTCTTTTATTAATTTGACCATTTAGCAATTATTTACGAAAAAAAACTTGTTAAATGTGAGTGCATTTTTTTAAGAAAAATAATAAAAACTTAAGTGTTGTGGGGTTATTTGAAAAAAAAAATTAAAGGGATTTTCAAGGAAAAAAATAAGGTCTTTTCAGAAAATTAAAAATGTAGTTTAATTAAAAAAAAACTGAATATATAAGTTTTTTTTTTATGATATTAACCCTACTTTGATTGAAATGTTTATTACTAAAATATACTTTTATATTCGACATATATATATATATATATAATATATATATATATATATATATATATATATATATATATATATACACGCAAATCTTTTGAAAACATAAATATTTGTGCGAACTTAAGAACTACTAATAGAGACATCATTTTTTAAAATGAAAAACTGAAATAAAGTCCCTACATATTGGTCTCATAATCGATTTAGTCCCTATATATTTTTTTTATTCAATTAAGTCCCAAATACCGGTAATCGTATTCAATTTAACCTTTTGACCCGGTCAATAGGTTATCCAACTTTCAAAAATTAAATTTTTGGCCTAGATTTCAAAATTTATTACAAATTTGGTCCAAAATTTACACTTTTGGCCCAGATTTTAAATTTTGTTACAAATTTGGTCCAAACTTTACCCTTTTTGCCCAGAATTTTATTATGAATTCATCCTAACTTTAGTTTTTTTTTATAACTTTTTTTCTCAAAGAATTGTTTCTAATATGTTTTTTCTATATAAAATCATATTTATACAAAAAAACGTATTTTCACTTAAAAATCTTATATTTTCTATATAAAAACCTTTTTTAAAAAGTTTTTTTTATACGAAATATCTAGTTATAAAAATAAATATTTATTAAGTATATAAATATATACAAATCCGTTTTTATAAAAAAATGTATACAAAAATGTATTTTACAAAAAAAAAACGTATACAAACACCTATTTTATCTATATTTTTTTTATAAAATCTTGTTTGTTTACATTTATTTTATGAAAACTTGTTTGAATAATTTTTTATATAATACGTGTTTGTATACATTTTATAAAATGTATACAAACATGATTTTATAAAATATATACAAACACGTATTATATAAAACATTATTTAAACACATTTTTATAAAATGTATACAAACACGATTTTATACAATGTATACAAACACGTATTATATAAAAAATTAGTCAAACACGTTTTTATAAAAAAAATAGATACACACCTATTTGTGTGGATATATATATATATATATATATATATATATATATATATATATATATATATATATATATATATACACACACACACAAAGGTGATAGGTGTTTGTATACATTTTTTTTTGTAAAATACGTTTTTGTATACATTTTTTTTTATAAAAACAGTTTTGTATATATTTATATACTTAATAAATATATATTTTTATAACTAGATACTTCATTTACAAAAAAGTTTTAAAAAGAAGTTTTTATATAGAAAATATAAGATTTTTATGTGAAAATACGTTTTTTTCTATAAATATGATTTTATAAAGAAAAAACATATTAGAAACAATTTTTTTGAGAAAAAAAAGTTGTTAAAAAAACTAAATTTAGGATGAATTCATAATAAAATTCTAAAATTTGGGCAAAAAGGGTAAAGTTTGGACCAAATTTGTAACAAAATTTAAAATTTGGGCCAAAAGTGTAAAATTTGGACCAAATTTGTAATAAATTTTGAAATCTGGGCCAAAAATATAATTTTTGAAAGTTGGATGACCTGTTGACCGGGTCAAAGGGTTAAATTGAATACAATTACCGGTATTTGCGACTTAATTGAATAAAAAATAAATATATGGACTAAATCGATTATAAGACCAATATGTAGGGACTTTATTGCAGTTATCCCTTTTCAAAATCGAAACCACAAATATTAACGAAATGCAGCGTCTAAGCAATTTTTAGGCTCAAAATAACATTTGACGTTTTATTTTTTTTGAAAAATTTTCATATATATGCACTACCAATTTATACATGCATAGCTGCGTCGCAGTCTATATGATTGCTGACGCGTAGTTTTCAATTGTTGATGCATAGTTCGCAAATTCTCACGTTTTTTTAATTCGCATAATAGCTCAACCATATATATATATATATATATATATATATATATATATATATATATATATATATATATATATATATTACTAGAAAAAATTTGTCAACCGCAAATTGTTTAACCAAGGAAGGTACAACAAATAGAATCTGTTATGATTCCCATGGCTATCGTATTCAAAGGTTCATATACCTTATAAGGCTAGAGGGAATGGTTCGGTGCCACTCATGGGCATGCTGGTATTGACAGTAGCATGACATAGAAACACTGCCCCTTGACCATGGCATGGCAAGGAGTTCGGAAACTTCTTGTAGATGGGAGAGAGTCAAAAATCAATTTTTATTCTCACTTTTTTTACTAATATGAAAAAGTGTTATGACAAGTCATCCCCTTTTAAATGGCTAATTGAACATGTAGTGTGGCAAGATGACAATGCTACATGCATGTATCTTACCATTTTTCTTTCCATATCCCTAATGATTAGCTTAGATTAGAATATTACAACACATATTTTTTTATCTTATAGTTTGTTTACCTTCATAACAATTAATATGCAAATTTAGATAAACACGAAGAAGAAAGAGCAGAGGCTCACGAACATTTGGACCGTGCTATTCGATCAGGAGATTGGGATTTAGTTCTTGAAACAAAAAGGAAACACAAAGTTACTTCCATAGAGAAAATCACCAATAATGGAAACACAGCACTCCATGTAGCAGTGGGCACTACCCAAAAGCCACAATTCATATTAAACCTGCTTAAATTGATACCCGAGAACGTACGATTGTCAGCTGTGCGGAATTCAGATGGTAACACCCCACTTCATGTTGCCGCTATTATTGGCTACACTGAAGCTGCTAAGATCTTGGTGGAAAGAAACCGAGATTTGTTGTTGGCTAAGAACAAAGAGGGTCACACATCACTAGCCATAGCTCTTTCCGGTATGCATACCGAAACATCTCATTTTTTGCTGGTTCAGATGAATACTGACATAGAGAAGGATACATTGTTTTACGGCACAAGTGGTGACGAGCTTCTGGTTTCTGTTATTTCTTCAAAGAATTTTGGTAAGTAGCTATAGGATTCAAAAAAAATTAAGGGCTTTTGATATAAAAGTCCTTAAGTTTGTCAAAATGTGACAGTTTTGTCCATGCGACCATTTTGTAAGAAACTAAACTAAAACAATTTAGTTGTGTGCTGGGGAGAAACGAAGAACAAAACAGAAAAATAAATTCTTGACTTGCACACAACGTTTTATGAGAACCACAGCACTTAAATTTAGAGTTCAAACTATTACATCTATATATACTAATTGGATTAGAAACCTACTCAAACTCTAATACCTACATACTAGATAAAACAAAACCAAAATATAGTAATTTTCCTATATTGCCCTTAACTATAAAATTTGCTTTTCAAACCGATTAACCCAACAATCACCCCCTTAATCGGTTTGGTCATACGAACCACTCGTTCAAAACAATGCCGGTTCCTCTTCGATTAGACCCGCTTCTTCCTTTTCCCATTTAGGACACTCGTTTTTATAGTGACCAAGCTCACCACATTTGTAACATCTAACGTGACTTTTATCCCGGACACGTTCATTACTATCTCGACTTCTCCCGGACCCCCGACCTCTTCCCCGGCCACGTCCAAAGTCATCCCGATTTGAACGTTCATTGCCACAATGCTTACAAACATGTGACTTTTCATCACTAGCCAACAACAACCCACCTTGAGTGTCCTCCACTTTCTCGGTTCCTCTTATACGCTCCTCGTATGCCTTCAATCTACCAACCGCTTCATCAAATAACATTGAATCCAACTCGAAACATTGCTCTATTGAAGCCACGATTTGAAGAAACGACTTAGGCATCGAATCTAGTAACCTTTTTACCAAATCACCTTCTTCAAGCTCATATCCAAGACTCCTTGCTTTTGACGCTAAACCGGATAATTTTGTCACAAAATCATCAACCGTTTCATCCTCCTTCATGCGTAAACTTTCAAGCTCCCTTTTTAAGGTTGCAAGTCGAGCCGTTCTCACCCGATCCACTCCCAAATACCGTGTTTTTAGCCCATCCCACACTTGCTTTGGGTCGGTGTAACTCGCCATTTGCAACACCATGTCTTCGGGTATCGCTTGAAACAAAAAAGCAAGAGCTTGTTTTGACTTCTTTTGATCTGGTGCTTTATCTAACGTCTTCGGTTCGACCGTCTCCCATATGCCATGTGCATCCATAATCGACTTGACTTTAACCGCCCACACCGGATAATTCGTTGGAGTCAAAACCGGAACTTGATATGTCAATGAACCTCCTTCTTTAACCAACGACATCCTTTTCTCCTTAACCCCGACTTCTTTAATCAAGCTTGTTCCGAGAGCACTCTTCCACCGGACAACAAGACAAGGTCACGACCACCTTTACCGTCTTCCGTCACCCGCAAAACGAACCGAATCAAAGCCATCCGCTTTGACGTCTTCCCGTTCGTTTACTCCGCGCCTCCGGTTAGTCTCTCACAAGCCCGATTAAAAGAAATCGGGATTGTTTCTAATCAACCTCAAATCACACCCCCTTCAACGAAACCGCTCTCTGATACCAAGTGTAAGAAACTAAACTAAAACAATTTAGTTGTGTGCTGGGGAGAAACGAAGAACAAAACAGAAAAATAAATTCTTGACTTGCACACAACGATTTATGAGAACCACAGCACTTAAATTTAGAGTTCAAACTATTACATCTATATATACTAATTGGATTAGAAACCTACTCAAACTCTAATACCTACATACTAGATAAAACAAAACCAAAATATAGTAATTTTCCTATATTGCCCTTGACTATAAAATTTGCTTTTCAAACCGATTAACCCAACACATTTTAGGTGTGTTAATGCTTATAGTTTGTCAAAAGAAATCATTTTTTCCCTTAAGTTTACAATTTGAAAAAAAAACCCTTAAATTTACAAATCTTTAATGTTTTTACCTAAGTATGTTTTCCAAATTTAACATGAAAATCATCTAATGAAAAAAAAAAATTCGCAAATTTTAGACAATAACGAACAAAATATCGTGTCATAGAGACAAAACTTGGACTTTTATGTCAAAAGTCCAAAAACTAACCACATAAATGCAACAACTAACTTTGAAATATACTTAGACTTGGCAAATGATTTGATGAGGCATCTCAATAGAGTGGATACTGACGCTGTGCTGATGGCTATAGCTCAGAATTTCCCATCTGAACTTAATAAAGTTGAAGCATACGCTGGTTTGTTGCTTTCTATCTTGATTCTGCAAGATTTTACCTTCTCAATTTGTTATAAGGCTTCTCTAACGAACTTCCTCTACACCGATTTTATACTTTGAAGGGACTGAAATAATGCATTACAAAGGAGCTGAATTCTTGCAAACTTTTTGTGATGTTTCCAGATTACATCCAAGAGCTTGTTGCTGTTTGTTACTTACAGTATTATTAGGGGTAATTCATTAGTCCAAGATTTGTTCTGTGTTGTTTTCACTATCTATTATTTGATTCCACATGCATATTAAAATTGCAACTCACAAAAAATTTGTTGTAGCACCTTCTAATTTCGTGGTTGCACATTGCATAACCACATAAGTCTAACAAACTATCTATCGTGTAATGCAGGGATTTTTTATTTGATTTTTCTTTTCCCGCGAATCCTTAAGATGTTAGGTAAGATGAACCGACAGTTACCATCATTGTATAACTAAAAATGGAAGAGAAAGAAGAGTACAGTTCTTTGTTTGACATGTTCATTTGGTCTTTCAGTGCGACCATTTATTATAAAGAGAGTTCAAGTTCATGCTGATGCTATGGAGCTATTAGAGACAGTATGTAGACGGATAAAACATAAAAATGACCCGAACTCTTTCCATCGATGTTATACAAATCCAATTTTTGAAGCCATAAGAGAAAATGCATACGAGGTTGTACACTGGATTGTGCCTTTCTTCAAAAATGCAATTTGGAGTACCAACAAAGATGGCCACAACATTATTCAATATGCTGTGATAAATCGCTCCGAAAAGGTTTACAACCTGTTATATCATATGAGCGATCATAAGAATATTTACAGAACAATCAAGGACTCTTCTGGGAATAACCTATTACATCTGGCTGCAAGATTGGCACCTACCAACAAACTTAATCTCATATCGGGAGCAGCTTTACAGATACAAAGTGAACTACAGTGGTTTAAGGTACGAATATAATGTTTCAAGAACAAAACTTATTTATAAAGTATGCTTAACATAATCTAATCTTGTAGGAAGTCGAAGGATTTGTGTGTCCACTAAACATCAAACAGAAGAACTCTTTCGACGAAACACCTCAAATGGTATTTACAAGAGAACACAAGGAGTTGGTGATTGAGGGAGAAAAATGGATGAAGGCAACTGCCGAGTCCTACACTATTACAGCTGCATTGATCACCACCATTGTGTTTGCAGCTGCTATTACAGTGCCAGGAGGAAACAATCAAGACACTGGGATACCACTTTTTACAAACCACACTGCCTTCACAATATTTGCAATATCAGATGCCATATCATTATTCGCAGCTGTTACTTCATTGTTAATGTTTTTGTCAATTCTCACTGCACGTTTTGCTGAACAAGACTTCCTCTTCAAGTTGCCGACAAAGTTGATTATTGGTTTGGCCACCTTGTTCATCTCAACCACAGCCATGATAATAGCTTTTGGTGCAACGTTGTACCTTGTATTTGGTCAAAGAAACTCAAGAATTCTTACACCAATAGTTGTGTTGACATGCCTACCAATTACTTCATTTGTGACTCTGCAGTTCCCTCTAATCATAGACTTGGTGAGTGCCACGTATGGTCGCAGGATTTTTGGTAAGAAATATGTTGCATATAGTAAGGATAGTTTAGAAAGAATGAAACGTCCCTTCTATTAAATCTTTTTGTTGTATTGGTCCTTACTTTGTAATATGACAGTTATTTGAGGCGTTGGGATAGATAAATTATGATTGGGTGATAACTCGGGGGTTTAAAATGGGAATGATTTTAAGAGTTGTGAATTGCATATACCTGTGCACTTTCCATCATCATATTATTTTAAAGTTAAAAAAACATAAAAAATGTATTTTTTTTTATTATTATTAGTGCTTTTTTTAATGTAACCCTCAATGAACATGGTCTGTACAACATACTCTTCATGTGATCTGCTCATAACACATCCACAATAATATTTTCTATATAGTCATAGTTATGTGTAAAATACCATATAATCTCTTATATGCAGCTGGAGCTGGTGTTTCTTATTCATAAATTAAGCAATGTATAAAATACCTTATAATCTCTTATTTGACAATGCTAATTTTTGTGTGTAATAATAATTAAATATGAAATAAGTTAATAAATTAAAATAATAAAATGTTATAGATATACAAAAATAATACCAATAAAACACAAAACGTACTTTTATATCATTTTATGGAATACAAAGTAAAGTGGCTTGGATGGCGAGAGGTTTGGTAGAGATCAATGCGATGTTGGGAGAACTTCGAGCTGTTTAGTTTGGTGTGAACGGCTTAATCAACATGAAATGTTAGGTTACAGGTTGACTATCCAAGGTTTTCGGTTTCCAGTTTGGTAACAAGGTTTGACTTTCAACTGGAAATGTTTGTAAGCCAATGACTAGAATGGTTTAAAACGAATTTTCTAGGGTTTAATATGTAAATAAGACATAAACGCATGGGCAAAATGTATAAATTGGTTAAAGGCTTTTGAGTTTTGACTTTCTTTTTAGCGAAAATGTTTTTTTTAGAGGTGTCTTCTTTGGTCTCTCGGTAATTGTATACACATTCAATAACAAAATTTTGATTAAAGCATTTTGGTTATCCTTTGATGATTGTTCTCCCGAATCCTCGTGGTTATTAGTTTTTGTTGGGATTTAATTAGTACTATGCCATTTTAGTATAATGAAAATTTACAATTATGAGTAGAATTAAATTTTTGATTTTAAATAAGTTAGGAGATGTGGAGTGCATTATTGTATAGCAGCCCCAGATCAAATGAAGATGAAGATACATCCAATCCAAAGTTAGAGAAGCCCCAGATCAAATGAAGATGAAAAAGACATGAACCTTACTTCCTGTCACATTTGAAAATTAAAAAATTAAAAAAGAATGAGGAAGCTGGTTAAGGGGATAGGAATAGTGTAGATTCCACCATTCCTTTGATAATGTCAGGGGAGGCAATCATGTTAGTAAACCATGGGTTTCACCTGTCACACCCCTGGTTGGCAGCGGAAACGGCGGATGGTGCGAACGAGGGGAGATTGGGCCGAGGCATGAAGATATATATAGAACATAACATAAAAGAATATCACAAACATTTTATTTATTTATTATAAATTATTTTGGGATTACATTGTTTTAAAAGACAAGCACGCAACCTAAACAGGACTAAATATGATAAACAGACGGAACTAAAACTCCAGCAGCTTCCTTGAATACATGTATTTTTGGAAAACGTCAACATAATGTTGGTGAGTGCACAAATTTTTATAGTTTTCGGATTTTAGTGGGCTATATTAATATAAGAATCCTTTTTCTCTTACAAAAAAATTTCCTAAAGTATTTTATCAACCCTACCTTACTATCTTTTAGGATATCTAGTGATCCTATCTTATTATATTTTCAGGATATATTTATTAATCCTAATTTACTATCTTTGTAGGATATCTAACGATCCTAACGTATTTTATCTACCATTCTAAGGTGCCCCTAATAGTAGTCAAATTTCTAAGGTAATCTAATGTATTATAATGAGCACCCATAATCGACACTCTTTGACTAATAATTTACCTTGCCACGACGCTTCATCGGACGTCGAATAGTGAATGATAAGAAAGTTATCATGTTGGGATTGTAGCTAGCAATTACATGTGGGGTTGTCAATCCTCTTATAGATCTATACATATCTTTTTATCACTCGCAAGATTAACGATTATAGGTATCGGAGAATGTCGAATTTAATCAAGGCCTTTGGATGAATTTAATAGCTCACTAACGCATTGACCTTAGGTATTTATCTTTTATCTTTTTAAATCCTTCCTAGGGATTTCCTATAACTATCATAATATAAATCTTTTTTTCTTATATTTGAGAACTATATCTTTTGATCTCATAATTATCATGGATATATAAGTATTCATATAGATACCCTAATTATGGCTATTTGAAAACAATATATTTGGGCAGAGTAACAACTAAATACAGTGCATATCCCTATATTTGACTAGCATTAATTCTAGGTAGTACGTTACCCTAGGGATTTGGCCATTATAACATCTTGGTATTATCTATTTCTAAACTATCGAACATCATATCTCTGAGGCATAATATCATAGCTTACAGCTAGACATAGTATCTATAGTTATATTATCCTAAGGCTTTAAGCTTTATAAAATGATTTGATATTTATAGATATAAATATATTTTGATAAAACCATTTGATAAACATGTATCCTCATCCCCCGTAAAGCATTTAAAATAGTAAAATAGGGGTCGTGAACTCACCCTAGTCGTGTGAAACCTTTGATGTAGGGTTGAATCGGGCTCGGGTGTAACATCCATGAAATTTCATAAAATTTAAACTTTTCAAAGCAACCCTTTTCCTATAGAAGTGTTTACAAAAACCGTTGTTCCCAAAACATTATTTAAAAATCAGAATCTCTTTCAACATAGTTTTCAAAACATTCACATTATCAGAGTTTCCCAGAAATCATAAGTCTAAAACGCGAGGATGTGTACGGTCACGCCTTCACCTTGCCACGATCCACTGAAGTACTTGAAACCATAAACCAAAACTGTAAGCACGAAGCTTAGTGAGTTCCCCCAAAGTACCAATACCCAAACAAATAACATATACAAATAACAACATGTATTGGGTCCACAACTAAAAGACTGGATTACCCCTTGAGCCCACAGTATGAGTTTAGCTTGCATATCAGGCCCACAACTCATATATGGCTTGCTCTCAAGCCCACAACATAAGTCTGGCTTGCCCTTGGGCCCACAACTTATGTCTGGCTTGCTCCCTCAATCCTTGGACTGGAATACCAATGAGTAGCCGTCAGTACGAGTCCGACATATCACCCGGTTCTCAGATTGTATCTGGAATGCTAATGAGCACTCAGTATGAGTCTGGCGATCCCTCCCTGGCCCTCAACTCATACCTGGAATGCTAATGAGTCCTCAGTATGAGTCTAGCATGCCCTCCCTGGCCCTCAACTTATATCTGGCATACTCCAGGGTTTATTGGCTACAACACAAAGCAGTACAACCTCAACCTAACTCACACAATATGTCGATATATAAAAGAGAATATCATGATAAACAGACAGTATCACAGGTAGTCCTACAGATCTACCAGACTAACATATCAAGACCAGCATAACCAAACTAGCATGCATATCTATTCCATACTCGACATATCAACAATATCAGGGTTATCAACCAAACGGCCGGCCTTGGTGCCTTTGACCCGAAAGTACAGTGAGGAAAACTCACCTTGAATGTAGAAACTCCCCGAAAGAAAATCCTTAGTTGCTGCCCTGCCGGCTTCCCGAGCTATCAATACCAACAACACACCCAATTAGCAATTGGGTTCCATGCTATAATCCATAATCTCTACTTGGGGTAAAATGACCATTTTACCCCTGATCCAACATGAACCAAAACTGAGGCCCCAAACCAAAAGATCCACAAAGGCCCACTAATGGCCTAATTTTCAAAATTGGGCCCAACCCCATATGGGTCTTATCCTAAGCCCATAATTTTCCTTATTACAATTCAGATTACCATCTAGTACCCTTGGGACAAAATTTTTCAAAGACATAAATCGAAGGTCAAAGTCAAAGGTCCAAGTTGACCCAACTCGCCGAGTTATCCTTAAACTCGTCGAGTTTCTCCACCAATATGCACAGATCGGGAAAAACCAAGTAAACTCGTCGAGTTGACCCACCAACTCACCGAGTTCCTCTATCAATCTGAGAATATCGGGAAAAATCGAGCCAACTCACCGAGTTTATCCAACAAACTCGTCGAGTTCGCCAGGAACCCACCTCTTAAGACATTAAGCACTTAATCCATGAGGACATGACTCCAAAACATAGATCTAACTTTCTTGAGCTGGAAAACCACGTAAAGTTGCCAACTTTACGTTCATGCATGTCTAAATGAAGCTCTTAAGCTTGGAATGGACTTATTAATTGACTTAATGTATGCATGACACCAAAATCCTCATAAATTTTGCACCTTTAAGCTCAAGGGTACCAAAACCAACTCAGATCTGAAGGAACAACCCCTAAAATGACTTTACTCCATCATCATCCCCCAAAAGAGGCCAAAACACAACAAAACCCAAAATAAGGAGATCTAATCATCCATAAGTCAAGGTATGAACTTGATACCTTAAAGTGGCTGGAAGAATGGAGTGATTTTGAATCCAAGACTTCCTTCTCCAAGCTAGAAACTTCAAGATCTCCTAATTCCTTCACAATTCACAAAAAGAACACCAAACTTCCTTCCAAGGCTCCAAAAACTTAATAATGGAGGCTACAACTCAATTTAGGGTTTGGACAACAATGGAGGCTGATAAGGAGGCCAGAAAAAGGACTTAAGGACTTTAAATAGGTTGCAAGACCCTAAAACTTAATTAGGGTTTCCTTCCCAGCAGCCAACTCGTCGAGTTGAGGCTCCCCATGTAACGCCCCGATTCTCGAGTATGAATTTATGGTTATAAATTCTCTTGATTTCAAGGTCTACTCGACGAGTTGGTTGCCTAACTCGTCGAGTAGCAGCGGGTTGGTCCACGTGTTTAAGTGACCTACTCGCCGAGTCCAAGAAGGGACTCGACAAGTAGGAGCTGGAGGATGAAACCCTAATTT